ATAGACAAAATGGGTGAAGGGGAGTGGGAGATACAGGCTTCCAGTCATGGAGGGAATAAGTCACGGGAATAAAAGGCACAGCATAAGGAATGTAGTCAATGATATCGTAATAGTGTTGTATGGTGACAGATGGTAGCTACACTTGTAGTGAGCACAGCTTAATGGTTAAACTTGTCAAATGGCTATGTTGTACCCGAAACTAACATAACATTGAACGACACTCAAAAAAATTAAAAAAAAAAAAACACTGGGGCTTCTGGGTGGCTCAGTTGGTTAAGCGTCTGCCTTCAGCTCAGGTTGTGATCCCAGGGTCCTGGGATCAAGCCCCATGGTGGGCTCCCTGCTCAGTGGGGAGCCTGCTTCTCCCTCTGCCCTCCCTCCCGCGCTTGTGCTTGCTCGCTCACTTGCTCTCGTGTTCTCTCTCTTGAATAAATGAAATCTGAAAAAAATAAATTTTAAAAAGTTAATAAAAAAGAAAAAAGACATGTTTTACACTCTGTAATATTGCATTATAATTTAACTTATGCTATTTTTTCCCTTAGGCTTCTTTTGTTATTTTTATTTAATGAACATGCCAGCTTGCAAGATTAATCATGGAAATTTGGATTTAGAAGAGACCCTTTGTCTGGAATACATTTGCCCCCAGATATCTTCTTGGCTTGTTTCCTATCAGAATGGTAAGTCTTTGAACGCAAGGACTATTATCTATTGTATTCTCTGTGTATTCATGGTATCTAGATGCATGCCTGGCCCGAAGTTGGAGCCCAATAAATACTTATTACATGGATATATGAGAAAATTGAGGCACAGCTAAGTAAAGACATGGCCTGAAGTCACATGGAGTTTCTGGAAGAACTGGGTAATGAATCTATGTCTTCTGACTGCTATTCTTGTTGAGTGGTTCAGTGTAACACCTGGCCTCTAATCAGTACAGCTTTTAGTCCAGGCACCTGAGTCCCCTGCTCTGGGCTCTTTGGTTTGGAAGGACCTACTCAGGCCCCTCTCCAGTCACATCCCTACCCAGGGGACAAGGAATACTGAGTACATTATCCCAGTCCACCCCCTCCACTTTGGCCTTAGAAGTGGTCAAAGGGCAGCTGTTGGGGGGGGTGGAGCTTGATGGAGTTTGTTGGGGTGTCCTGTATTGGGTGGAAAGAGAAGAACAATATGGGCAAATGACTCTTTTCCTCCTTTTGCTCATGGCCCCTCAAATGTTAGGGGTGGACCTATCTCCATAGTAAATCTAGTTCTCCCTACGTATTAAATGTTGTTTAAGCCGACAATCAACACCTATATTGTGCCAGACACTGTGCTGGGTATTTTCAAATGTATTTTCTCCTTTAAATGTTATTCTTACTCAATAAGGCTCAGAAGTATTGGATAAAATACTAAAATAATAAATAAAATAATAAATAAATAATAAATAAAATAAACTAATTTATCTAAAAGTGATAATATTTTAATAAAATTCTATTAAATAAAATCTATTATTAAAATTATTTTTACTCATTCCTTTTTACTTTTGTAATGTGGCTTCTAAAATAAAATTGTATACACTGCTTACATTAAATTTCTACAGAACAGCGCTGCTGTAGACCTTGGTAAAATGATGTTGTTGGTAGTTTATCTTCAAAACAACCTTCTCATTCCAACACCTGCCTAAGTTTTGCTGCCTCCTATAAAGAGCATTCTCCTTCTCTAGGACTTGTCTGCTTTGGGTTGGTTCCTCTCTGTTGCCCCCAAGCTACTTGAGATTGCTGTGGTCCTCCCCTACCTTTCCCAAAAGAGACTTACGGTATTCATTTTGTCAGGAAGGTGACAGTTGGTGAATTAAGTCCTTTATCACTGCACTAGGTTCGCTGGAGCATATTAAATATGGTGTCTCTGGCCAAGTGGCTTATAATAAAAAGTTTTTTGTAGAAGATCTGACACAAAGCCGTAGGAATTAACTTATTTTTTGTTAGAAATCTTTGAATTTATCTTACTTTACTTTATATAAGTGACTAATACATTAATATTGTTTATAAAAACTAGTTGGAATGGGAGCTCATTCTATTATAATCTGATTTATTCCTCTTTATGTTAGATCAGTTTATCTCATGCATTCTCAGTGGGAGTGATATTGCCCACAAGTGGGCAAAAATTGGTTCTCGGAGTACGAAAATATCTTACTCCTTTTTGTTTTTTTTAAAGATTTATTTATCTTAGAGAGAGAGAGTGGGGGAGGGGTGGGACAGGGGCACAGGGAGAAAGAGAAGCTCAAGCAGACTCACCATTGAGCACAGAGCCCAACACAGGGCTTGATCTCGAGACTCTGAGATCATGACCTGAGCCAAAACCAAGACACTTGCCAGATACTTAACCAACTGAGCCACCTAAGTGCCCCCCAGATTTTACTCTTTTAAGTATAAAGCATATATATTACTTATACATAGTGTGTATAATACATATGTATATAACACACACACACACACACACATTATAAAGCCAAATATACAGTATATCTGCATATTAAAGTTTCCCGAAGAGGCAATTAGAAAAAAAAGTCTGAAAGTGTTCCTTAGGGGCTTGGTTATGAAACACATTGAGAAATACTGGTTTATCTGGACAAGAAATTCCTGCAGCTTTAAGAGAGAGCCTAAAAGTAACATAGACCAGAAAGGAACAGAGACAATATACAGTAACAGTCACCTCATATTACAGCAGAATGTTTTTATGACCAGTTAATCTTCAAAGTTTCCCAAGTAGGGAGAGGAGGAAAAAATAGAGGGAAGCTGTAGAAAGATTTACATTTACAGATTGGGGGAGAGGGAGCATCAGAAGAGTGTTAGAAATCTCTACCATCAGTTGATCACCAATTATTAATATTTTGCCTCATTCATTCATTCATTCATTCATCCTATCTCTTCCTCTCCCCACCAACCCTCCCCACCACTCCCTGGATTATTTAGGTCAAAGTATATAGGTATTCATTACACTATTTTTTCAAGTGTTTTCTAGGTGTGAACATTTTCAAAATAAAAGTAGGGGTAAAATGCCATCCTTCTCTTTATCTACTCCTATACCCTAATTCTACATTGGGGCCCTGTTGAACTATAATTTCTTGGTGACATATTTTCTGTCACCTTTAATCTTGTGCATATATTGCTCCCTCTGTCTGGACATATTGTGCGGCCTCCTTTTCGTCCTTTATACCCAGCCTTTGCCTGGATAACTCCCAGAAGTCTTTTCAGGTTTTACTTCCTCCAGGAAGCCTTTCGTGACCGGGACCCAGCCCACTTAAGTCTAGGTTAACAGTCCTGCATATATTCCCTTTATTGTGATTGTCCTTATTGTTGCCCTTGTCATATAATATTATACTTGCACATTGAACTTGTCTGTCCTCACTGGATTGTGAGTTCCATAAAGGCAAGGATTACGGCTTCTTTTATTCATCTTTTCTTCCTTGGCAGTTACCACAGGGCCTCACACAATATTTATTAAATAAAGCAACAATTAATTTTTCTATGAGATGCATATTTGTTTTATATAATTCCATTTATAAGGGAAAACAAGAAAAATTAGGGAAAATACTGATTTTTTTTTTTAGCTTGTAAAGCTTTATTGCTGATAACAGTATAATATCAGGTTAGACTTTCATAATATTAAAAATAGCTCCCGGATCCCTATTATTACCCCTGTAAAACTCTTGGTGAGATGCCCCTGACAATTCTGGGAAAAATTGTTTCTCTCGGCTCCAAAAGAGCTCGGTTTCTGCTTCTATATTATAGGAATCTGGGGGGTGGAGTGGGGAGATACAAAGATAAGAAGTAAACTCCACTGGGCACCTGGGTGGCTCAGTTGGTTGAGCGACTGCCTTCGGCTCAGGTCATGATCCTGGAGTCCCTGGATCGAGTCCCGCATCGGGCTCCCTGCTCGGCG